CTCCCCTTCAAACTCTTACTAGTCCGAGTAAACTGGTAAGATGTTTGACTTGTGGTACATGTAGCGCTTTAGTTAATATATCTGCTCGTTGATCGTTCGTCCGTATGTATTTCGCATTTATGTACTCTAACTCAATGTAGCATTTAATAAAATCTTTCTTATGATCTAAATGCTTCGTTCGTTCTGAATATTTGAGTTCGTCCGATGTAACCGTTCGTATAACAGCATCGTTATCGCAAAAGATATTAATTGGTGCATCAGAGACCTGCAGAATCTCTTCAGCTAAATACGTAAGTGCGATCGCTTCCTGTGTTCCTCTTGCAAGAGCTATTAATTCAGCTTCATACGTCGAATTTGCCACCAGTGTTTGTCTTTTACTTGACCATGAAACTAATGAATCGCTCAAGTAAAATGCATATCCTGATATTGCACGATGCCCTTCTTGCATCATACCGTCCGCGTCCGTATAGCCGTTCAATATTGATTGATTTGTGCCGCCGAGTTGGAGCCAGACATCGTTCGTAGTTTTTAAGTACATGTAACAATGTTTAAGTGCCAGATAATGCTCCATACCGGGGTCATTGAGGTATTTTGCTAACTGATTTGTTGCAAATGCTATATCTGGCCGCGTACAGTCTGCAATGTATCTAAGTGCGCCAACCATGTTCATGTATGGTATATCAGACATTTGTTTTCTATCGTTATCGGTTTGCGATACTGTTTTTAATTGTGTACCGGGCTGCATGGGTGTTTGTACACTTCGTTCGTTCGTAAGTTCGTAACGTTCTATTATACTATTAATATAACGTGTCTGACGCATCCTGATGAATCTATGCTCTCTGTCGCGTTGAATCTCTATACCAAGTAGCCAGTGTAATTCGCTGCCGTCTGTATATTGTAAATGACGTGCAATAGATTGTTTTATCATTGCAATAGTATTATTATTCTTTGCCGCGATAGTAATATCGTCGACATGTACAAATAATATGGCTACAGTTATTTCTTTCTTCTTTGCGAAGAATACGGCGTTATCATGTTCGGATTTCGTTAATCCGCATTTAAGTAGTATATTAGATAGCGTTTTATACCATCTTCTACCAGCTTGTTTTAATCCGTATAGCGCTTTTCGTAATCGTAATATTTGTCCATTCTGTAATCCGTCTATTAAGTTACCTGGAGGAGGTTTAACATATATTTCCTCGTCTTCCGTCAATTGTCCATAGAGATATGCCGATTTTATATCTATCTGATGTATTTCATAATTATTAGATGCTGCCCATGCTAATATTAATCGCGCCGTAGATAGTCTAGCAGTAGGAGCAAATAAATCGTCCGTATGATAGTCAAGGCCGTCAATCTGATAGTTTCCTTGAACTACTAATCGTGCTTTATATTTTTCTATGCTATTATCGGCGTATCGCTTTATTTTATAGACAAATCGTGTTCCGATGATGTTAATATTATCGCGTGGATTCGTGATTTCCCATGTATTATGATTTTCTAATTGTTTTATTTCGTCTTTCATAGCTGTAATCCATGAATCACGATCCGGACGTTGGATTGCTTCATAAAATGAAGTCGGATCCGATTGTATTTCACTTATTTTAGCATTAAATTCCGTTAAATGAATGGCAATATTATCTTCATCCTTTTCGCTAAGTGCATACATGCGTTTCGTTACGCGTTTATTCTCCATGCGTTGTTCAAGCTCGATAGCACGTTCCGTCGGTTTCCGTTTTCGTTCCGATCGACGTAATTTAGGTTCTACTTCTTTTTCGGTTAATTTAACTTTGTCGTCCGTTAAGTCCGTTGGTTCTGCCGCTTTTCCTTTTTTGTTAGGATCAGCGTTGTCCGTATCATCGTCGTCCGTTCTCGTTATTCTATCGTCCGTTTCGTTATTTTTAATTATTAAACGCTCGTTCGTATCGTTGTTCGTATCGTCTATTTTCTCCCCTTCAATTTGAGGAGGTTTACCTTCGAGAAATTGAATATTTCGTTCGATGGTAATTTTATTATCGTGCCAAGTTTTATGGCCTTTACTTTCATTGTCTAATCCTATCCAACGAGCGATGATACCTCGCTGTTGTATTTTTGTAGGATTTTCGTTGCGAATGATAATATATTGACCAAATTCGTATATATTATCAATTGTTCCGTGTGTTCCGTAACGTTTGTAATGTGGGGTATTATAATTTAAAGCAGCACGCGGTGTTCTATTATGAATATAGGTAATATGAATTGCTGCTTCGGCCCATAATGTAAACGGTAATTCAGTAGATGTTAGATATGCTCTTACACCTCTAAATATTGTTTTATGCGTTCGTTCCGCTATTCCGTTCTGTTGTGGAGTATGATGTACTGTTAATCTTCGTTTTGTTCCTTGTGAATCTAAATATCGTTGGAAATCTTCACTAAGGAATACAGTATCATTATCACTTTGTAAAAGTTTTATTTTAACTCCGTGCTGTGTAAATATTTTAGTTGTCCATCGTACGTATTGCGTATATGCATCGGATTTTGTTTGTAATTTGAGCATTATGCACCAACGAGTAGAATCGTCTACAATCGTTAATAAGTAGCGTATGTTCTTATATGCGTGCGGTTCAATAGGACCAATGATATCGATATGAATAAGATCTCCAAATTGATTTGCAAGAGGAGATTGACGTAGTTTTGGTATTGGTGTACGTTCGATATTTGCTTTTATGCATTCAATACATTCTTTTTCTTCGTAGTTCGTTATTTTAGTTGATAGTACACTTGGTTGTGTCTTTAATAATCGTTTAATATAATCGTAACTTATGTGTCCGAGGCGTTTATGTATATCATAAATAGATAGTTCGTTCATCGTTTTTAATAAATGATTATTGTACAAAATATACAAGTTATTTCTCAATCGTATATGTCCGATGTATTCGTTACATGGTGATGTTATAGTACAATTATCGTTTGTAAACATAAAAGAATAACCTTCCCTACATAGTAGCGCTTGACTTATGAGGGAAAAGGTCATTTGTGGATAGTAATAGACGTTTTGTAATGTTATGACGCTTTTTTCTCGTATATTCTTCGGGATTTCGATACACATAGATCCAGCTCGATTAAGAGTCATCGTTGACCTATTTGCAATAGTTACGATCGTAGGAGTTATGTCGTGTACATCCGTTAATCGAAATAGATAAGGAGTAGCATGTATTGATGCACCGGAATCGAGTAAATCCATCGTTTGCGTATAGGATTTCTCGTTAGCTATGATTGTATTTGTAAATACGTTGGTACATACCCAGGAAACGTATTGTTCGAATTGTTTGTCCTGGTTGCTCGGAATAAGAGCGTAGGCGTTATCGTTCATTTCAACGTCGCCTTCTTTTAATTCAACGTCGTTTTCGTTTGGGTTTTCAATAATAAATGCGTTCGTCGTGTTTTCCGCAGTTTGATTCGTTTTATGCGCGATGTTAGCCTGATGTTTGGCGCGTGCAAGCTTCGTAGCTTCAGTAGGAGGTTTGCGGCATTCCTTAGAGAAATGTCCTGTTTTTCCGCAATTGAAACATTTCGCTTTTGTCGGATTGAACGGATTTGGCGGATTGAATTTCCTCCGCTTATTGGCTTTATACATTGTATTAATGCGTGCATTATTCTTCGTCCGATCATTGGAATCTTGTGCTCGTTTAGCACAGTAATCGTTGTAGGCGTTCCGCAATGCAAGGATTAGTTGCTTCGGTTCGACTTTCTTATGTTCATTGACTGGTTTGCCTTCGTTTTGGGCATCAGTAGATTGTATTATCGTATTTACTACGTGTGTATATTGCTCAGGAGTGGCAAGCAATATCGCTGCTTTGTATGTAGAGTCGCGTGGTGGATCACCGTTAGCAGACAGAGTTGCGTATGCTTCCTCAAGTCTGT